CAGCCATGATGCTTCAATTCCAATAACAATAATAATCAAAGAGCTTACAATCCAATGTATTGAAAATGTCCTGATTCACATATGATTGTGTGTTCCTACTACAGTCTGCGGTCATCGTAAGGGCCCTTTATTTTAATTGTCAAAATATATATGTAAGCTTGTAAACTGCATGTTGTGTACGTGGCCATAGAGTAAGATGATATATAAGAATGACATTGGCACTGACACACTCAGATAGAGAATTTGATCTTGACCGTGAAGTGATTTATGAAATATTGGAAGTAAAAAACCTTTAATTGTCGATTTTTCTATTTTTAGGTGAATAGATTCACAATGTTTAAATGTTTTTAGTGTTTAATTTTATAATAACAATAAACTTTTCTATTTTTAGATAAATCAAATTTGCGTTATTTACTCCAGTACCATCTGACATATTACATATATATATATATATAATAATAATAATAATTGAAAGATGAAATAAATTAGTTTGGAGATGATTCTTCCAGTTTATTGTGGATGTATTCGCGAACTTTGAGTTTAAAAGTAAAGCGATTGCTGATCATCCTGATTTCTTTAGGAAGCGAATTTTGGGAACAAAATTTGGGAACTTATATCTTTCAATAAATCCTGAAAGTGTTTCACGATCCATTTTGACGTGCAGTCTCCTCTCGAAACAAGCTCTTAATGTTAAATCTGCTGTACAGCAAATCTATACACGATCAAGCACGCACGACGCAGGACCGCTCTGACGTACGTCTGCGTTATTCACTGTCTATCTGCACGACGCTCGCGGTAGTGGGGGCACTCGCTGGACGCAAAATCGGTCGTGCAAATCCAGCAAACAATTATTAATAATTATCGACGTACGTCAAGCCTATTCATGATCCTTTTGCATCGTGCATCGTGCATGGCCTTGGCGGGACGTACAGCAAGATGGATCGTGAATAAGGCGCTTTAGTCTGTGACTCGGGACCTTTTTACCGCCGAAAATTTAAAAACGAAAAATAAAATATAATGTGTATAATAGGTAGGTAACTAATATAATATAATAACTTAGAATTGCGCCGCTACAACAATAAAACTCCTATTGTTTCAACTGTGGTGTTAATTACATAAAACACGATTTTACGGTGAAATAAAGAAGGGACTCTATATGGACTCCCTCAATTTGTATCCTGATTAGACTTGTGACGCGAATTATTGGTTCTTTTGTCGGTATTGTTTTCACTCTAATAAAAGCTCGAACAGTTAGAAAAATGGAACGGTCTAGCGTAATGTGAGCACTTACCCTACACGGCCCAACGCCCGTAACCGTTTCGCTTTGAAGAATGCGAATCCAATTGTGTCTTTGACATCATGTCTCAAAGTGGGTAACGTAATCATGTTTTAATAACTAAGAGCTCTGGTGTCTGTTTAATATCAGATGGGCTGTAAACTCTTCATCTAATAATGGACTAATATGTAAATAAATAAAACAAAATAAAACACCCAGAATCGAAAATTTTCATTTAACTTGCAAATGCAATTCATAAGATTCACATTTTTTGTTGTCCTTGTGCATTTTTGATACCTTCCTTTCGGTTGGGTTTAAATGTGACAATAGCAATGTCATCATTGACATTGACGTCATCGTTCTATAAGTAAATTAGGAGAAAACAAAATATTCTTGAAAACTAAGTGAAAACTACTTTTCTACATTTAAAATCAGACACAATCAACAAATAAAAAAATGTCAAACAACAAAGATCGCGATGAACCTGCTTTTTTAGCTCACCAATGTTTCTTAAAAAAGGACTACACAGCGGCATTACAACATCTTAGCGACTTGGAAAACCTTGTGGGAACTTCGAATAAAAGGGTTCAACACAACAAAGCCGTTGTAGAGTTTATGGCTGGAGAGATGAAGAATGTGGAAAAATTCAAAAATGCCATTACACAGTTATCAGGGTTAAATTATTTGGACGTCGAAGTCAAGGATATGACTTCACCCTGTTTGTTGTATAATTACGCGGTTATTCTGTTCCATTCACGTTATTATTATCAATGTGTTGTCATATTAGAGAAATTATTAAGTTCTAAGAGCATAAAAGATGCGAGATTACTACAGCAAATTATCTTACTTATGTTAGAAGCAACAATATGTCGACGTACTTATGATAAGACTATAGAAATCGCCAAGAACCACGGCGAGCCATTAAAAATTAATAATGAAGTTAGTGAGTTATTTGAAAGGATTATATCACGTGCTCAATTATTAGTTGGCCAAAAAGTAAAATTAAACCTTAAGCCTGATTCCATAGAGAACATATTTGTTATAGCACAGCAACATTACATCAATGGTAATGTAAAGGAAGCAGCTAATATATTGGGATATTACAAAACCTTAAAGTACAATTATGATATGAAAACTCAAGGTGAAGAAATATGGTCTGCCGTAAATAATAATTTGGGTGTCATATATTTATCAATTAAAAAACCATATTTAGCCTCAAAATATTTTCAGCACGCCATAAAAGAACATTTGAAAGCTATGGAGTGTGAGGACAGTGAAAAATTAATATCTTGTAAAGATAGATCACTTTATGTGTACAATTTGGGGTTAGCACTTTTAGGTACAAATAATTCAGAAGGTGCCTTTGAGTGCCTAGTTGAAGCTGCTAGACATTTTCCTAATAACCCACGAATTTGGCTTCATTTAGCTGAATGCTGTGTAAAGAAATGTTGCAGTGAAGAAGCTCAGCAATACACAGTAAAGAAATTGGGCAGTGGTCCCCACACACGAGTCTTACTCTCAAAAGAAATAAAAGCAAGATATTCCACATCTGGGGAATCTTTTGCAATACCATCTTTATCACTGGAATTTGCTGCACTATGTCTACGGAATGCTATGACTCTACTTCCCAACCAAGAACCTCCAACGGATGTAACTGCATCACTTATACAAGTACCACCAGGTATCCCAATAACCTGGAAACAACGTAGCGAACTCAAGAACTCTGCCCTTGTTTTACAAAGTTATGTATTACTGCACTTGCAAGATCCATTAGCGGCTCTTGTCAGTGCTAATGAGTTATTAGCTCAACCAGACGCATCTAGTAGTCATAAAGCATGGGCTCACATATATGCAGCTGAAGCTCTCATAAATCTTGATCGAATAGCTGATGCTGTGGAGCATCTACATCCACCAACAATTCATGACTTAGTTTCAGTACTGCCGTATCAAATGAGGGATATGATTGCTGTGTCTGTGTGGGCTAAGGCTGCAGTGTGTCATATTTTAAGAGGGGATCTAGTAACAGCAAAAAAGATACTTTTACAAATAAATTCACCAAAAGTTCTACCTCTACAGATGTATTTAGAGATTTGCACAGGTAATATAGACAATTGTCACACAATATTGAGAAAGATTAGATACACAAATCCCTCCATTCAATAAAATTAATTATTGGCTTTTGTCTTTTGAAAGCGGTGTAGCAAATTTTCTATTTATTTAAAATCTTTCCTATTATAGAAATGTTAACTTTTGTAACTAAATATTGAAAGATATTTTAATTAAAAAACTTCAGTTAAATTTAGAATATTCTTTATTCAGAAACCCTAGTCCTACTTACATCCTTTCATTTAAATAATATGTTAAAGCTCTTTTAAAACTATGCTATATACCTAATTAGAATGTTACTGACAAACTTCAAAGAACTAATTACCAAAATGTGTATATTTTATTAGTTATTCTCTATTAACAAGCAAAAATATTTTGCTGATAAGGTGGAAAAAAAATAGGATAATGGATTGATATATAAATTATCGTATTTTCTTCATAAATCAGGATGCAAGTGTCCTTTGATTTTCTTTGTAGAGCGTTCAGCTGGTTTTGCACACAGCAGCTTCCCAAATAATGTAACTTTGACTTTTTTCAAATACAATTCGAATACACATTCTTTTTTAGGTATAGTTGTCACAATATTATCTTTGGAGACAATTTTAAAAGTGTTCTTTGTGTCCATAATGCATATTCCGGTTTTATTGATAAAGCTTGGACATTTGGAACGGACTACTGTTAACATGCATCCATGATAGTCCGCTTTATACAAACTTAAGGTTAACGTTTCCCAATTTTTACTATTTGGCTCTGGTACACCGTCGTCCATCGCTAGGACTTCAGTAATATATTCTAACCAAATTTTGTTCATCTGTACTACATCTTCGTACTTCACGCTGTGTCGTGGAATATTGTAAAATCCAAGTGTTTTTTTCTCTTTACGAGTCAAACATCTGGTTTTTTTCTTGATTGGTTTCCGTTTTTGTTGTTTGCTACGCTTTTTCGCAAAAACGAGTTCGGTTTTTAATTCCGAATCAATTTTTTGGACCTCGTTTTTAGGAACATTTGTTTTGAGGAAATTAATGATTGAATTTGCCGCCTGTTGATTGAATGAATCTGTCGTTTCCTCCATTTTGCTACGAAATGTAAGACTCGTTTTATTTAAAATTATTAAAATCAAAATAACTTTTTCGATCAAGGGACTTTTGTTTTGAATTTGCTGTCAAAATGTTCATATATCAAATGTCAAAATGAACGACATTAGTCTAAGTTGCCAATTAGAAAATAAAATTTTCGAGACTCACTGAAGCAAACTATACAAATTAATTTTATTGGTACTCATACTGTGGAAAAATAGGCAGGACACACATCAACACATCGCAAGACACTTTAAAATTCTTCCCAATACATTAAAAAATATAGCCAATATAGCCAATGTAGAATACGATGAGCGTGTTTCCTCAATACTATTTTGAAGGTACATACATAGAGAAAGATCGGAAAGCTTAGAATTTGTTTTATACCGCCTTCGTAAAAAATTCTTATGATCTCATGAGGACACAGTCGCTTCTGGATATCAGAAGTGCCAGAGGCTCAGCGAAATCACTATCTGCTGCTGAGAACTCTTCCAGGGCTCGTTTTTTTCTAAGTTAATATCGGTTGTAAGACACAAACCATCATTAATTAACGATCATTTGGCCTCAAGCTAGAATTCCCTGTACTTTGGGAATCCGATACTGATTTACATACATATATGTATTATTTATATATGTATATACTTTAAACTGTATATATATAGTTTAAAGAGCGAACAAACCTGTTCGTCCCCCGATTGTTATGTCCGATGGGAGAATTGAATCCATGACTGTCGGCCCAACAGTTCGGGGCGCTAATTGCTGCACCACGGAGTCAGAGAAGTCACTTGAAGAAGAACATAGAACATTATAGTGCTCAGGAACTACCGCAAAGACGAGTTTCAGAGCCAGATATTGTTATTGAAGTTGAAAAAATGATCCGATGAAACCTATTGTGGGTGAGTGCTGTAGTTTCAGGAAGTAAGGATGAACTATAGCCTTTTTTAATAATTTATGTTAGTCTTCCTTTATTCCAAAATCGATCCTTTATTATTTTTATAATTTTTCTGAGCTTTTAAACAACCAGATTTAAATAATTGCTAATTGATTAACTATTTACATCGCTATGATTTTGGAGCTGGTATCATTACTTTGCAGTTGCATTTTCAATCATTTAAATTGTACTCATACCTATATACGAAGTTTATTAATATGTTCTACTTGAGTTTCTTTTTTTTAATGGCTGTAAATCTCAGGAATTAATTACAGCTGGTAACATTTATTACCGACAGCACTTGCAAAAGTTCAAAACTCAAAGAAAACTCCAGCGCTGATAGGATGACTGATAAATCTTGCCGTGCCGTCCTTGCAATAAAGACTGGCTCTAACAATTTCAAAAATTAAATAATCCTATTTAGTTTGCCTTACCGTTCGGACATCGACGAGATAATATATTTTTTTAACAATTAGTAATAAACCCTATAAAATGGTTGTGGATGTACCCAGTATTAAACTGTCAAATGGGCAAGAAATGCCAATTTTAGGTCTCGGAACTTATGCGGTGAGTTTAAATTTGTAGTTAATTCACAATACTTAATCCAAGTTTTTCTTCAAAATTAATGACCTTGATCTATATAAAAGATATAAAATTATCAGTGTTACAAATGTTACCTACATAATTTTGGTACCTACATTATTTCTATTTTTTATTACAAAAGAATACCAATTTAATAAAACAAAGGTTCACAATATGATTTTTTTTTTATATTTATTTACAAAATTAGTAGGATACTTATGCATTCCCCTCATTCGCCGAAATGGAAGAATTATCTATAAATGTTGCCAATGTGTTAATATATTTAATACATAAAATTTAGAATTTGTACAACTTCAGTTTCATACTTCCCAATTTCTTTTTAAATGGTCCAGATAAAAAATGTAACTTATTTCAGAACCATGTTGGCTAATGAGTGCTAAGAAACGTATTTTTTTTTTAAAACATATTGAATGTCATATTTCCATAAAAAATCGGCTAAGGCGTGAAATAAATTACAAAATAGTAAATTGTAGTGATATTGAAAATCTATACGACAAAAGTGCCAGTGAATAAGAATATTTTTTTAAAACAAAAATCTGAACAGAGTAAAACTAAGATAACAACGTTTTCGTAAAGAAATACCTATCACTCAAATATTTTTGTCGTTAAAGCATTACTACATTTTTTTTTATAATAGTAACTTTAATGAATTATTCTGCTTTTTTAATTTTAGGCCACAAAGATATAAAGTTATTTTTTTGGTATAGATTATACATTAATTTTTTTCAATGACCCGTGAGGGCGCTAAGTGGGTTAAAACGGTTTTTAACTCTTAGACTCTCCCAACAGTTAGAACGCCTAGCTTTTAACGATTATCAGCATTGTACAACTCAGTTCGACATTATTTTAATGTTTTTGAATTCTAATTTTTTGATGATTTTTCTTCCTGAATGATGAAAAAATATTTTAAAATTCGCTGTAAGCAACATCGATATTTTATGCCGCCATTTTTTATTACATAGATTAATAAATGAGCTAGCGATCCGTATGGTGTAAAGTGGTAGAGCTGGTGTTCTATACTTCAAAACGGAACGCGCGAATACTTAGTGACAGAGATCGAACCAGTAAATAACAAACGCAATAAAATTTAACCGCCTAGGCGCCCGTGTGCTTAGTGCGAGTTTTTTAACGTTCTCGATAGCGTAAAAGTTAACCTAAATTTTTAATGCTGTTGGAACAGCGCCCCTAGCAGCAAACGTGTTAGAATTTTCTCGAACATCGGAAAGTCGCATACCTACGTGACAAGAACCTTGGCCCCGAAAACTAAACATTTCCAATTATTATTATTTTTGTTTTTTCCTTTCTAAGCTGAGAGCCTTGAGAGGCTATATCCGCGTAACCTTAACTAGTAGGTGAGCTCACGGGGCTCAAACCTGACGACGTTGCTAACACGAACCCTAGTAAGAGCCGTGCTTCGCAGTATCTACCACCGGATCGGAAACGCGACCCACTGAGAAGATCTGGCGAGAAACTCGGTGGGCTGTGTCTGAGGGTTAATTTACTCGTCGAGTCCTTCGTCGCAAGCGACGCATTTCCAATAATGAAATGGACTAAGATCGCGAACCACACTCCCTGACCCTGTAGAAGTGTAGACTAACGAAGCGATAAAGAATGACGAAAATTTTACCCAAATGCCAAACTTTCAGAGGAAACCAGAGCCTGGTCAAGTTTTGAACTCGGTGAGATGGGCCATCGACGCTGGCTACAGGCACATAGACACCGCGACCGTCTACAAGAACGAGGCTGAAGTTGGTGAGGCCATCAGCGAGAAGATCGACCAGGGTGTCGTCAAGCGGGAACAGCTTTTCGTCACCACCAAAGTCAGTCATTTTATTTATCCTACTAATATTATAAATGCGAAAGTTTGTAAGAATGTATGGATGTAGGTATGTTTGTTACTCTTTCACGCAAAAACTACTGAATGGATTTTGATAAAATTTTACAATAATATAGCTTAAACATCAGAATAACACATAGACTATCTATACTAATATATAAATCTACAGTGGTTTTTACGGATGTTCCGTTATAACCACTGAGCCGTGCATCCGATTGACTTGAAACTTGGTATCCATGTAGAAAATACATGTACTTAATGGATAGGCTAATAGTTATATGAGTGTTGGACTCCCTAATAATAATGACAATAAATAATAATGTTAATTTTAAATGCCCAGCGAAGCGGGCGAGTACGTCTAGTAGTTTATACATCTGAATAACACATAGGCTATGATTTATATAGATATAGCGTGAATTACTCAAAATATAACGACAAGTGTCAAGTAAAGTGTCAAAGAAAAAAAATCTGCCTCCTAGAAGCTATTTTTCATGCTCCGCAAAAACCGTTGGAATTACACACGCATGTAATGTAAAATGGAAATGTTTATCTCAAATAGTCCTACAAAAAGCCCGTGACAGCATATATTTATCTTTTATTTGTAAGCCATTATCGCCAAAATAGTGAACCATGAATGTAAGAAGAGGAAAGATTAGATATTTTGTTTGGTACTGTCAAGGCTAGATTTGTTTAAAAGAACATTCAATAAGATCAATAATAAATTACAGTTCCCGAAGCGAAGTTTGGGCGGGTCGCTGGTTACCTTTATTTAAAGCTATGTTTTAGCAATATTCTCATAACTGTGAAATTCGGCCTAGCGTAGTGGTCGGCAAACTTATTATCCAAATAGCCAAATATGAACAATACAATAATTAAAAATAATAAAAAAATTGGGAGCCAAATCTGCTTGTTTAGTAAACTTTTATCACACTAAATGCAGAGCCGCACTTACGGAGCCAAAGAGCCACATGCGGCTCTGGAGCCACACTTTGCCGACCACTGGCCTAGCGGATAAAACTCGGTGTATTAGTGTTGAAGAAGGCGACTGTGCCGAGGTTCTAATCCTGCTGCAGGAACCTTTTTTTTTAAGCTAAAACGCAGCTAATACGTATTAACGAGCGACTTCCGCCATTAAGAATTAACATCATGTAACAAAAAGCAATTCCGTAAAATGTATTCAGTTACAAACTACCTTTATTATGTTCATACTAGCCTTTTTCAGTAAAACCGTTGCTTCAGAAGTATTAGATGGATTAAAAATCTTAAAAATACTTTTACCATTTTTGTTTCGAGTAAACTATGAAGCTGTATCTACATATTAACTGGTGATAGGACCTCTTGTGAGTTCGCACGAGTAGGTACCACCGCCCTGCCTATTTCTGCCGTGAAGCAGTAATGCGTTTCGGTTTGAAGGGCGGGGCAGCCGTTGTAACTATACTGAGACTTTAGAACTTATATCTCAAGGTGGGTGGCATTTGCGCTGTAGATGTCTATGGGCTCCAGTAACCACTTAACATCAGGAGGGCCACCCATCTCAGCAATAAAAAAAAAAAATATATTGAAAATATTATTCAGTCTCAACTGAGAATTGTCTTCTCTGTATTTTTTTATTTATTTTTATGTTCGACTTAAACACTCGTTTGAGAACTACACAAAGAAACCAAGAAATATCTCTAAGAAAGGCGCTTCGGCTTATGGCACAAATTACGATCTTCAACAAAAGGAAAGAAACCGACAAAAAATAAATTACAAATTCTTTTAAAATCGTGTCTGGTACTCACTTCCAGTATTAAATCAATCCAACATTTTCCATAAAATGATAATACCAAGTCCAGATCCCTTCGAAAGAGGGCAATAAAAACAAAATCTGTTGCTACTTCAAAAATAACATTTGAATTCATTACTTGGATCTCTAAAAATACATCGAACTCATAAAACCTAAACATACCTATCTACGAGCGAAACAATCGCAAGGCTAATAACATTCTTGTTCCAATTTTATATAGAACTAACTAGAACCGAGCTTTCGGCCAGCGCCAGCCTCAAGGGAATAGTCAAAAATAACACATTAGTGCCAATGTAAATTGAATCGAACTTTACATTTGATTAGCTAAAGTACTTTATTGGCGCACTACGCATATGATACTTGCAATAGACATTTTTTATTTATTTTTTATTTTCCTAAAGTCGCATACCTAGGTGACAAGAACCTTGGCCCCCAAAACTAAACATTTCCAATTATTATTATTTTTGTTTTTTCCTACCTAAGCTGAGAGCCTTGAGGGGCTATATCAGCGTAACCTTAACTAGTAGGTGAGCTCACGGTGCTCAAACCTGACGACGTTGCTAACACGAACCCTAGCAAGAGCCGTGCTTCGCAGAATCTACCAACGGATCGGAAACGCGACCCACTGAGAAGATCCGGCGAGAAACTCAGTGGGCTGTGTCTGAGAGTTAATTTACTCGTCGAGCCCTTCGTCGCAAGCGACGGGTTCGACGAGAACGGTGACCGGGCGATAGGCAACCGAAGAACAATTACAAAACGATAATGAAGCACACAGAAGCGATGTTGATTAAATTATTTTTACTGTAAGAAGGTAATTTACCTACTAAGAAGTTTTCTTAGTAGGTAAATTACCTTCGTCTCGCGATCTATATTTATAACTGGCCTCAAATTAGGATTCCCTTTGTTATGGGTACCAGAGACTATCAAACACACTTATATAGGTTTAAATGTCTGGGTCATGGTTAATATCTGGGTCTGCGGAGGGACTTCGGTTCACTCTGTATTTTGTACCGTATGTTCCATGGGGAGTGCACTGAGGAATTGTTTGAGATGATTCCCTCATTTCCTTTTTATCATCGCACCTCCCGCCATCGGAGCAGATTTCATCCATATCATCTGGATCCGCTGCGTTCATCGACGGTGCGTTTCCAGAGGTCTTTTTTGCCACGTACAATCCAGCTATGGAATGAGCCCTCCACGGTGTTTCCCGAGCGCTATGACATCTTCTTTAAAAGAGGCTTGTGGAGGGTATTAAGCGATAGGCAGCGGCTTGGCTCTGCCCCTGGAATTGCTGAAGTCCATGGGCGACGGTAACCACTCACCATCAGGTGGGCCGTATGCTCGTCGGCCTACAAGGGCAATAAAAAGAAAAAGAAAGATACATGTATAATAATAAACTGTATAATTATAACTGTATCTGCCTGCGGGATTTGAACACCGGCTCTGTCACATTGCTCTGTCGTACACCGGGCGTCTTATCCCGCAGGGCACGAGGAATTTAAAACTTCAAAGAGTGTTATTGTTCAGCTTTAGTCTTTATTGATATTATTTAATAGTCGATGTTGCTGCACTATGCACTGGTGTCTCTATTGCCTCCAAGAATGTGTAACGAAATCTGTCATTTAGATAAATTATTTATGATTGGCTTTTGTTGTTCAAATCAATGTTAATTCCGAAAACGCTACCAAACTGCGTAAACAATGCGAACTTAATTAATATGTGTTTTATCAGCTTTTTAAATATTCTACTCATGTTATTTTCTTTGAAACTTTTAAAACGCCTGCTACGGTTGGCAAAAAAAGAATGTGAACTTTTTTTTTTTTTTTCAAACCCAATGTGTAACATGGTTATGTTTTGAAATAATATTTTATTACAATCACTGAAGGTTCTTGTATTTTAAATCAATAAATATTATTATAGACTCAATACATTCGTGATTCGCAGTCGAAAAGGGCGGGTTTGCGGTACCTACCCGTGTCGATTTACTATACGTTCTATCACCAGTAAATGTCAATTGACTATGACAGCACGCTGGTAAAATATTCATAGAACGGAAGATTAATTCTTCTACGAATCCTTTTCTTTTCTACGTATTCGCTGGTAGCATAAAGGGCTATTTTAGTTATGCACTGGCTGTGTCACGGGGCTCAACCTGAGAGAGTTTAACACTGACCCTAGCAAGAGTAGTGTTCTGCGGAATTTGTCACCGGATCGGAATCGCGACCCTCTGCGAAGATCCGGCGAGAAACTCAGTGGGCTGTGTTGGCTAGTTCACTCGTCGAACTCTTCCTCATGATTGACGAGGACGATGACCGGTGTTTTTTTTTCCGTATTATCACACAATGTTATTCCGTTATGATGGAAGTCGTTGGAGAAATTTATTAGGTTCGTATTTCATTAGGAAAAGTAGCATTGGTTTCGAATGACACGACAGTACCGGCCGTCCTAATCTTAAGGTTTCGACTTGAAATGTTTTCTAATTACCCTTCTTCTTCTTACTTTCCTATTACCCTCTGCTGGGGTGTAAGGCTCGAATCAAATCCTTCCATTTACATCGGTCTTGGGCAGTCTGTTCTAGCTCCTCCCACGTCATGCCCAAGACGCCTAGCTCCTGCTCCACCGAGTGACGCCAAGTCTAATTACACATTTAAACTTAATTAATATTTATCGAAGTAACGCGGAATGTGTGAAACATATTTGTGATACATTCTTCAACTAGTACTAGTACTCGCGTACTACTAGCATTACCCTAATCACCCTGACCACCCTAATCACGATCAGCTCGTCGATTTGTGCGTATACGGTAGACAGCGGCTAGGCTCTTCCCCTGGCATTGGTGAAATCCATGGGCGACGTTAACCACTCACCTTCAGGGCTGTGTGCTCGTCTGCCTACTAGGGCAATAACAAAAAAGAAAAAAAAAGAGAAAGGAAACAAGAAAACAAACGAATGCTTAATTGCAAATCAGAACTTCAGTAGTCTAATATTGTAAGTTTATTTATTGTATCCAATTGACTAGAAACTTTTTACGAATTGTTATTGAAAGTTCATGGAAAGTTTTTAGCTTAATAATGCGAGCCTATTCTCAGCAAATCGATTTAATAAAACTCAAAGCCGCAGAGAAGCGGCCACGATTCGCTAGTGCGTATATAAATAGCTAAATATATTAGGAAATTCCGATGACAATTTTTTTTTTT